CCCCTGTGACACCCACACCACAAATTTAAAGCTTCCGCTAGAGAATCATAGGTGCTATAGTTTACTGCTCCCAAAGCTGCAGTTCCCAGAACCCTTAGCAAATTGCAGTTCCCATGATCCTCTGGGGGAAAGATACACACTTTAAATGTGTGGTGTAGATTTGGAACGCGGGTGGCACTGTGGGTTAAACCACAGAGCCTAGGACTTGCTGATCAGAAGGTCAGTGGTTGGAATCCCTGCGACGGGGTGAGTTCCTGTTGCTCGGTCCCTGCTCCTGCCAACCTAGCAGTTCGAAAGTACGTCAAAGTGCAAGTAGATAAATAGGTACCGCTCTGGCGGGAAGGTAAACGGTGTTTCTGTGCGCTGCTCTGGTTTGCCAGAAGCGGCTTAGTCATGCTGGCCACATGACCCAGAAGCTGTAGGCCAGCTCCCTCGGCCAATAAAGCAAGATGAGCGCCGCAACCCCAGAGTCGGTCACGACTGGACCTAATGTTCAGGGGTCCCTTTACCTTTACCTAGATGTGGCCATTCTGCCTCTTGAATGCACCATGTTGGGTTGTAGACTGGAGGACTGTTCCCTTCATGTTTTTCACTCCTCTGCTCAACAACAGGTGCCCTTCATTCAAAAGCTAAAGCTAAATCAGTGCACTTTGTCTGTCTGTGCACCCATCTCTTCCTAACCTTACATCATGCCATGTTAATGTCCTCTGTGATTGATATAAATAGATGTTTCGCTGTCCTCTGGATTTCACACTAATGGGTTTTTTGAAGTTGGATACTCATCCCAGGCAAATCTGACGAGAGACGATGGATTAAAATTAAGCCGAGTAAACAGCGGCACGTAAATAGATCTGCCCTATTAGCTTTGTCAAAACGTTTGTTAATTAACCTCTGATCCCCTCATTGTGGGAGGGGAAAAGGGGTAGTTCTTTTCTTGGGTGAGGCTGGGAGATTGAGCTGGAAATCTGAGGCCTGCTGTTCAAGGCGAGTGGAAGAATCCTTTTCCAGTATGTAAATTAGATTTGTAGTTGAGTGGAATTGATTCTGTTGAGACTAAATTAATCACAGCGCTTAATCACTGTAACCTTTAAATATAGCAGTCGTGACCGCAGCGGCAAGGAGGGAGGTCAGAGGGAAGGGAGAGCCTGGTGTCCGTGAGGTTTTCAACTTTTCAAAATATCAAGGTTTGGCTGGTGATAGGGGAGAGCTGGGAAGAGGCGGAAAAGGAAGAGGGGAGGACAACAGTAGGTGGAGCCAATGACAACTGGCACCGCCCCTTGAACTGGTTGTAAGTAAGAAGATAGGCAGATTGGGGCTGGGTGAGGGCAAGCATAGGTTGGTGGGGCAGTGCCCCATTTGCCTTAGAGAAGCAGCCTCTACAGGACAGTAGACTGGCCAGGATTTCTGGCTCTCACAAGAGTTAAACAACAGCAGCAATAAGAAACAAAAAAAGGGCTCCCCACACTTCCAGATTAATCCCAATTCCTGATCTGCAGTGAATTATAGGTACAGTGGTTCCTCAGGTTACATACGCTTCAGGTTACATATGCTCCAGGTTACAGACTCCGCTAACCCAGAAATAGTACCTCTGGTTAAGAACTTTGCTTCAGGATGAGAACAGAAATCGCGTGGCGGTGGCACGGCAGCAGCAGGAGGCCCCATTAGCTAAAGTGGTGCTTCAGGTTAAGAACAGTTTCATGTTAAGAATGGATCTCCGGAACGAATTAAGTATGTAATCAGAGGTACCACTGTAGATTCGTATGCAGGTCATTCCAATATATGGTTCCCAGAAGTAATGGGATTGCACTCCTCTGGAAGGATCAGGTCTGGAGCCAAGCTTGTGGTTGGGAATACCTGTTTTTAGCTCCAGTTGGTTCTCCAACTGCAGACTCCTTTGGTGAGAAATTATTTGGCTACTGTACTCCATGCTCTGGTAACTTCCCGACTGGATTACTGCGATGCATTCCACATGGGGCTACCCTTGAAGATGACTTAGAAATGTTGGCTGGTCCAAAATGCAGCAGCCAGGTTACTGTATGGAGTTCCATTTAGACTTCATAGAACCCGCGGTTTAGAAAAGCTCTGCTGATTGCCAGAGTATTTCTGGGCACAATTGATTAGTGTTTCAAGCTCTAAATGACTTTAGTATCCTCTTGAGTGCTAAGCTCTCCAGAGGGGATCTCTTGGAAGTTCTTCCATCTTCAGTGACTCAGGGGTGGCAGCCTGGGAGAGGGCATGCTTTGGGGCAGCCCCTAAGCTGTAGAATTCCGTATGCCATAGAGGTACATCTGGCACCTTCATTATGCCGTTTTTGTTGTTGTTGTTTTGTATGCTAAAGACACAGCCTTTTGCTCTAGCCTTTGACACGAGATTAATTAATATTTAGAAATACTTGGTTTGCAGAGGACCTGTTGAACTGGCTCTTCGTTTAAATAGCAGCATTTTAAGTTGTGTGGGGTGTGTGGGGCTGTGTTGTAGGTCATCTAATCCAAAACAAGAGGATCCCAGAAAAGATGGTTGGCAAGTCTCTACACGAAGACCTCCAACATGCTGGCTGCACTGTCAAATTGTGTTTACCATCAATACAATTTCTCTAGGCCTCATCCATATTTAAAGCACTCTGATACCCTCTAAACAGTCATGGCTTCCCCCAAGGAGTTCCAAAAACTGTAGTTTGTAAATGGTGCTGGTGACCCCATTCCCTTCATAGGGACTACAATTTGCAGAGTAGTTTAGCAACCAGTCTCTCTTCCCAGGGAATTCTGGGAAATGTAGCTCCGTGTGAGGAAGTAGAGGTCTCCTAACAACTCACAGCACCCTTAACTAACTACAGTTCCCAGGAATCTTTGTGGAAAGACATGACTGCCAAAGTGTAGTACGAGTGTTTCAAATGTTCTGCGCAGATGAAGATAAAATGTTCAGCCAAAAATTACCCTATTCTAATTGGTCTGTTGGATCTAGCCCTGGTCACTAGGACAGCAGAGGGCAAGTGTTTGTCCTATTCTCCACAACAGTCCTTGGAGTACCTTGTTGAATGCCAGTGTTCACATTTCTAAACGTATTTTTTAATCAAAGTACACCTTTTAAATACCATTTCACATATTTGTTTTGAGCTGAGAACGATGTGTAACATTCAGAAAGCGCAGGAGCGAGTTGATAACTATGTATTGATCTACGCACTAAGCCAGAAAGTGAAGTTCAGGCGAGGTTAGAATTTGTAAAGGTTGGAGTCTTCGTAGGGTGTTGGGAGCTTGAAGGTTTAAGGTTGCTGGTGTACACCTGGGTGGGTTTCTAAATTTTATTTTAAGAAATCACTTTTGAGCCTTTAGGACACTGTGCACACTTCCAATGCAAGAAAGAACATGGAAGAGGATTAATGCTATGTGTACTTCTGCGGTCACCTTTTGCGTTCAAATTACAGTCCTTTGAAAAGCTCAAAACTGTTTTGAAAGGCGGCAGTGAAAACAAGCCTGTGTGTGGCTGCAGCAGATTATCTATTGTTTAGGGAACTGGAACAATTTTGCAGAGCAGAAAAGCTGTCCAGTAGCACCATCTGCAGGTTGTAAGGGAGTACCTTGTCTTCTGTGTTTTTTAGGCATAAATGAGCTAGAGGAAGAGAAGAGATGGGAGACTTGACAGACTGACATTTCCATAGCTAGCTAAGGTGGCAGGAAAAGTGCCATGGAGATTTAGGTGTTTGAAGTTGGTGCTGAAAGATTTGGGTAGATGCCCTGATCTCCTTGATATCTTACCCGGTTATGCAATGTGTGAGGTGTCTCCTGCTACTTACTAGGTGCAATCCTGAGAAAGTTAGGGCTGCAAGGTAGAATAGAGATGGGCAGAAGGTCGTTCAGTACCTCCTGGTAGATCTTTAGGCTTTAGATCTTTAGATCAGCAATGGCGTCAACCTCCCAATAATTACAGGCTGCATTTCACAGAACTTTACACTTTTTCCAGCATTTCCTTACCAGATAAGGTTTGCATTTTATGTGATCTTTCACACAATGTAAATCTTCTGGAAATCTAGCAGAAACCTGGCACTCATTTCTGTGTTAACTGCTGCTAGGAAGGGGGGAAAAAAAGGTTGTGATGCTGTTAACTTGGAAATCATGAGAATGTCATACTGGTAAGGTCGCCCACCTGTCAGCCACCTGACATCACAATGATGTCAGGTGAAGACAATACAATAATGACAGGTGATGATTGCTGGGACTTCAAAGTACCAGTGATCAGCAGGCTCGAGGTAACCACTTATCAGCTGACTGCAGGCCTGATTTCTGTCGGGATCGTCTGTGTGACCAGGTTCCCCATGGAAACATGGGTGTCAGGTGTGGGGGAGATATGCCTCCATGGGCTATCTAAGTTTGCCCCACAAGCCGGAGGTTCCCCACCCTCCGTGTGTTTGTGTGATTGATGTAGAGTGTCAGGTTTCTATACCCAAAACACCAATGGTGGCTCTTACTTGAAAGCAATCTTTATCCCAACTAACAGCAGTACAGACTCAGCAGCAAGCACAATGCCCCGAAGTCAAGATTCCAAGGTCCATGATTTCATCTCTTGACATGCCCCTTCTGCCATGATTTTAAACTAGAGGCAGGGTCCAGTGAAGTTCACTCACATGCACATATGTGATCCAGTTGTTGCTGAACTATAACTCCCATCAGCCCCAGCAAGCCAGTGGTCAAGGGATGATGGGAGTTCTACCTCATCAACATCTGGAGGACACCAGGTTGGCTATCCATGCTGTAATGAACCCATCTCAACCCCTTCCCTCCCACACCCACATCACACATTGCTGAAGGCTTGAGAGATTGAGCTGCAATACCACGCCAGGTGTGGGGAAGCCTTGCCTTCTGGAACTGAGAGGGTCTGGTGTCCAACATGGTCAGAAGGCCACCATGTCATCTTAGAACCATGATAGGGGTAGAATCATAGAATGGTAGAGTTGGAAGGGAGCATGAGGGTCATCTAGTCCAACCCCCTGCAATGCAGGAATCTTTTACCCAACGTGGGGCTCAAACCCACAACCCTGAGATTAAGAGTCTCATACTCTACCAATGGAGCTATCCCAGTCTGTAAAAGGTAAAGGGACCCCTGGCCATTAGGTCCAGTCGTGACCGACTCTGGGGTTGCGGCGCTCATCTCGCTTTATTGGCCGAGGGAGCCGGCATACAGCTTCTGAGTCATGTGGCCAGCACGACTAAGCAGCTTCTGGCAAACCAGAGCAGTGCATGGAAATGCCGTTTACCTTCCCGCCAAAGCGGTACCTATTTATCTACTTGCATTTTGATGTGCTTTCGAACTGCTAGGTTGGCAGGAGCAGGGACCAAGTAACAGGAGCTCACCCCGTCGCGGGGATTCAAACCGCTGACCTTCTGATCGGCAAGTCCTAGGCTCTGTGGTTTAACCCACAGCGCCACCTGCGTCCCTATATCCCAGTCTGTAGATATACCCATTTCATATACAAGATGTCGGGCCAGATTCCTGTGTGGGTCGCTTCTGGGTTTCCTGGTTTCTGAAGTCATAACATCATTGGAGATGCCATCCCAACTCAACGCCTGTCTGACATTTTTAACATCATGTCTTATAGCCATGCTGTGCTTCTGTTCCACTGTTGAGGGTGTTTGCCTTTTTCTTTTGCACCAGATGGCACTCTTTAGTTCCATTTCAAAAAAAAAATAGAAAAGTGAAAATCTACCTCCTTTCCTTCTGGAAGTTTCTCCAGGAGGAGGAGAAGGAGGGAAGGAAAAGAGTCTTATTTCCACAGACTCTTGCCAATTATATGTCTGTATTTCCCCCCCGTGAAGCTTCATGAAAGCTTGTAAAAGTCCATTGACTCTGAAACGAGGCTGACAAAAGTATTTGGACTCAGCGGTAGTTAGCCAGGCGATTTGAAAGGGCCTGGTGAACCCCAGGAAAAGGGGGCTGAGAATACCTTTGCAGAAAGAGAGTGGGGGGAGAGGGAGAGAGAGGTTTCACCCCCTTCATATACCTCAAACACACACACACACACACACACACACACACACACACACACACACGGCCCTTCTGAGCTACAGTTTCATGGGGGCTGCATTTGATTTAAACATATGTGAATCCTTTCCTGCAGCACAAAGCAGAGACTATGCACTGAGGTTGATATGGCAGCGTATTGTCTGGTGCGTCTATTTTTAAATGAACATAGGCACTCTGTGTTATGTTCCGTCCAAGAGAAAAATGAAAGGCCCAACTGGATGTGGGTTTGTGAATAGGATCTCCCATACCCTTCAACATGGATGAAAATTGGAACACCCTAAATAATAATAATAATAATAATAATAATAATAATAATAATAATTTACTATTTATACTCCACTCATCTCACTAGGTTGCCTCAGTCACTTTGGGCAGCCACCAACATATATAAAAACAATAAAATATTCCCATAAAACTTCCCTATACAGGGCTGCCTTGAGATGGCTCAGGGATTGCATAACTCCATACACTTTAATAATAATAATAATAATTAATAATAATAATAATAATTTATTATTTATACCCTGCACATCTGGCTGGGTTTCCCCAGCCACTCTGGGCGGCTTCAACATGTCTCCAAATGAAAATAGGGACAGCCTAAGGAAAAACGGAACATTCCTGGATTTAATCAGAAACTGGGATGGTTTCTCATAAATCCAGGAGTGTCCCTGGGAAATTGGGACACTTGGAGGGTCTAATCTCCCATACTTAGCACCCATTATGCAGCCCAGCAGGAAGCAGTGGCTGAAGCTCACTGGGGTTGCCTTGGTGGAAGGTAAGGAGATTGGCTTACAGTAGTTCTCAAAGCACAACATTGGGGCTGAATCCATGCCATGTATGTATATCACAGCCTATGCACATTTAAAACATATGGCTCCCCACAAAAGAAGAATCTGAGGAACTGTAGTCCACCCCCCACACCTACAGTTCCTTACTTTGTGGTGTTTACGGTTCATTGTCCGTTGTGAAGGAGGAAGCGGGTGGCAGAGACATTGTTGCCGGGGGCATTCAGGAGCTCTGTTGTTGATGATCAGTTTGCCAAGCCCAGTCCCGAACTTGAGCCCAGTGAGGCTCACACACGTGTAACGTTTGCGATAGTGGTTAGTGGTATCAGTTACAATTGACCAGGACAGGTAAATTTAGCTTCTATGTCCTGAGATGCTGGTCACATCCGCACCATGCATTTAAAGCCACGGCTTCCCCCAGGGCCGCCTCTAGAATTGGTTGCAAGCGGGGCTCCCCCCCCCCAGCCAGAACTTGCCAGATCTGACTCAGTTCCAGTACCTCTCAGGTGGGCCCATTGCCATTACAAGAGAACGAGGGAGTTGTTCATTGTGAATTCCAGCACTTCTTTTACTAAGAAGTGAAGCTGCAAGTAAGAAGGCAGGCAGGTGGGGTTTGGTTGAGAGCAGGCTGGGAGGGGTGACACCACTCGTAGTTAGGTGTCAGGGACCATTCTAAGAAGGGCTGCACTGAGGCTGATTGGTGGGAGCCACCCCCTCCCCCTGATCCCGAATCTTCCCAGGAGCAAGAGGACAACATAGATTTGGAACAGTGGTTTGCAGAGGGACATAGTTCAGAAGGCAGAAGCTGGGAAATACTGGATGGGGAACAGCTAGGAGGAGAAGCACTGGGAGGGAGAGAGTTAACATATTCAGTCTCTGGATAGCATCCACCCCCCTTCTCCAAAGTCACAAAGAGCTCAGAAAGTGTCAGAACAAAAAGCACAGAGGGCACAAGCTCAATTACAAGATGTAGGAGTGACATAGATTAATAGGGGCGGAGAGGGGAGTTTCCCTTAATTGGGAGCACTGCCATTTCTAGGAGATGTGTTCTTTGTTCTCTCACTGTGATTATTAAAAATTCTAACAGGTAAGGTGTTGCTTTCATTTTATCTCTTATCTACTGCCACGGGGGGGGGGGGGAGGAAGCTGATTCCCTGAAGCCTGACACTAGGGTTGCCATATTTCAAAAAGTGAAAATCTGGACAAAATAGCTTCGGGGGGGGGGGGGCAAAGTTGTTGAGCTGCTTCCGACCGCTATTTCCAGGAAATTCTGGACATATGGCATCTAGCCCCTACATCACACCCTGAGGGTTTTTGCCTGGCATGAATATGTCCTCAGGCTTTGATCATGCCCTATCATCATCGTCATTAATATCAAATTTAGAAAAGAAGAAAAAAGTCAAAACAGCAGGTGGTTGGGAAGTGAAGAAGGAGATAACTCAATCAGCTCCTATTGAATAAACAATAGCTGTCACTACAAATATACCTTTTAAAGGGTTTTCTGATAATGCCTCTTGGATGTCTAGAGGGAGAATAGAGAGGTGGATGTGAGTGTATGTTAAAGCTAGTCTACTGTACAAATGTAAAATCTGCATGTGTTGCTCCGTCCACCTTTGCCTCTGGCCCCACCCACTGCTGGCATCATAAAGAAGTTTCCCACCTCTGCCAGAAAGTGTATGTCTAGATCAGGGTTTCCCAAACTTGGGTCTCTGGCTGTTTTGGGACTACAGTTCCCATCATCCCTGACCATGGGTTCTGTTAGCTAGGGGTGATGGGAGCTGTAGTCCAACAACAGCTAGAGACCCAAGTCTGGGAAACCTTGGTCTAGATGCATATTTGGAAACAAGGGGCTATATTTTAAATGGAAACCCAATGCATCTCACTGTAGTGGAGCAAACCATGAGCAGGTGACCCATGTGCCTGCTCAGTCCTCTGTCTAGTTGAGAACTGTTGGTTGGAAATTAGTTCCAGCCCTTTCTTCCTCTCCCTTCTTATGGTTCTTTGTTGTTACACCAGATTGGACCACATTTACACCGTATATTGAAAGCACTATGATACTATGGTTTCCCCCAAGGAATCCTGGGAGCTGTAGTATGATAAAGATGCTGAGGCTCATTTTCCGCTCCCAGACCTACACTTCCCAGAGTTCCCTGGGAAGAGGGATTGATTGTTAAGCCAGTCTAAGCATTGTAGCCCTAGAAGGGGAATAGGGGCCTCTTAGCAGCTCCCAGAATTCTTTGGGGGGGAACCCTGTCTGTCTGAAGTGCTATTGTAGTGCTTTAAATTTATGGTGTGCATGTGGCCTTGGAGGAATGCACTCAAAAAGTGAACTCTTCTCAGGGAAGTTAGCTACTTACGACATTGGATTTCTGAATCACTTCTCACAACAGATAGTCCTGAAGCGATTAGCAAGAATAAAATACAGTGGTACCTCAGGTTACATACGCTTCAGGTTACATACACTTCAGATTACAGACTCCGCTAACACAGAAATAGTGTTTCAGGTTAAGAATTTTGCTTCAGGATAAGAACAGAAATCGTGCTCGGGCGGCGCGGCGGCAGCAGAAGGCCCCATTAGCTAAAGTGGTGCTTCAGGTTAAGAACAGTTTTAGGTTAAGTACGGACCTCTGGAACGAATTAAGTACTTAACCCGAGGTACCACTGTACACCACAACAGAATATATATAGTAAAAATACCCTATATCTTTGTTGTCCAAATGCCCGGGGAAACAAAAGCGCCCTTGTCTGGTGCTAAAACAACAGCAAAACTGGTGTGTTTCCATGTGTGTGTGCCATTCCATATATGGGGAGGACCATTGGCCATGCTTTTCTGGGGATGTTGGGAGTTGTAGTACAGCGACATCTGGAGGGCCACTGGTTCCCCACGCCTAGCCTATACTACAGACCAGCAGCTCTTGCATTTCACAGTCACCGCATTTTAGGAAAGCATCCCCAAATGGCTTTAAAAAATAAATAAAGCGAGACAGAGTAGGGCCAGGATTTACTAGAAGGTTGTGAGTCTCTTGGCTAAATGTTATTAAATGGAGCATATGCTTCTTACATCAATCAAGCTGGTGAAATTAGTGCTGGAACAGGAACGGCTTCACTAGTGGTGACTGAGAGAGACAGCGATTGACTTCCCCGTGGTTCAGCCAACATCAGCATTCTAGCAGCACCCGCCGTAAGAAGCAGAGCTGGCATCTCTCTCCTCTGTCGATCTGGATAGCCTTGCCTGTAGGCAGCCCAGATTCTCTCCTTCACTTTGTGCTATCCTCTAATTAGCTTATTTTGGGGCCAATTTGCTCAGCTTTAATTAATTACAAACAAAACAAGGGGAAGTCGGGGGGGGGAGGAGGCAGAGCACTGCCCTTTCCTTCCTCGTTCTTTTCCCACCTCACTTGGGGCCCAGACGGACCTCACAGTTATGAAGTGGCAGCATTTCAGAGGAACCATCTTTGCTCGTCGAGATGAGGAACATATTTTTGGAAAGCTTTCTCTCTCTCTCCGTTTCCTTGTAAACATATGAAAGAAACATGAGAGCGAGCGCACATAAAACCCACAAAAGACAAATCATGGTTGGAATAAATATTCTGTTGCGCTGGCAAACTTTTTAAGAACACACTGGTGGGTTTTCATAGCTGTAGGCAAGAACTGGATATTTATTGTGACCAAGGCTTGCTGCGGTTTATTATGTTTATAAAACCGTTTAAGGCTACTTTTTCTTTCTGAAAATGAGTTTTTAATTTTGGAGGGTATTTTTTTTTTAAGAGAGAGAGAGAACACGCACATGCATTTTAATTTCTTCTAGGATTAGTTTCCAGCCCACAGATGGTTGAATGCCGAGAGAGTATGTGGAGGGAAGATTGTGTGAGGGAAAAGTCCTTGTGGCTGGCTCTCACCGCCACTTCAGCTATTACCAGATGGACAGAACTGAATGTATGTTAAACTATCACCCTACCAGCTAGGAGTGTGATAAACCAAATCAGTCATTCCTCCACGGGTGGGAGAAGGTTTGATGGGAAGGTCTGGGTGAAGAAATACACGTGCGTAGGCATGCATGAAGACAGTAAACAATGTGCCCTTCTATCTATAGGACCGCAGCTGTAAGCAATATGCTTTCACTTCTATATGACTGTGATTACGCTGCTCAGGGCCGAGTAGGGTGCCGGTTGTATCTGATTACAGTTATTCAAAGCCAGTGCTGTTACTTTAGATAACAAATGCACCCCTTCTCTGGTTCCTATACTTCTTGAATGATGCTAATATCAGGGGTCAGCAAACTTTTTCCACAGGGGGCTGGTCCACTGTCCCTCAGACCTTGTGAGGGTCCAGACTATATTTTGGAAAAAAAACAAACCCACCAACTCTCCCCTCCCTTGTCCACAGCACCGGACGAGCCCCCATGGCTGCTTACCTGTGCCTTGTGAGCGGCAGGGGCTGGCGGCCGTGGAGGGACGATGAGTGGCGTGAAAGGGCTGGCTCCGGAGAGGGGCTGCTCTGCTTTAAATGGTGCCCAGACAACCGTAGCTCCTGTGCCTTGCAAGCGGCAGGGACTGGCGGCGGTGGAGGGACGATGAGTGGCGCGAAAGGGCTGGCTCCAGAGAGGGGAAGCTTAAAATGGCGCTTGGCCAACTGCAGCTCAACAAAGCCCAGCCCCCTTCCTCCTCTAGGCAGGGCAGGGAGAAGCCAGGAGGAGGGAGGGAGGAGGCGCCGACGCGGTGTGTGTGTGAGGGAGGGAGAGGGGGGGAAATGGCGCAGCCCAAACCATCAGAATCCCCACGCCGATCCACGTGGCAATTCCCGGACCATCCGCAGGCCGGATCCAGAAGGCAGTTGGGCCGGATTTGGCCCCCGGGCCTTAGTTTGCCGACCCATGTGCTAATTCATTAGATTCTGGCAAGTCAGCAGGTTCCACCCCTCACCTCAATTGAAACTGACAATGGACTCTCTTGGCAGTCGTTCATGTCATTGTATGTGGAATTCGTTGCATCTGGATGCATTTTGGACATAGCTGGTACCAAGCAGTGGTTAAAAGCAGTGGTGCCTAATGAAAAATGGGACTGGTGGGGCAAAGGAAAGGACAGGAGGCAGGATGGCTGATAGCTGGTGGGCCTTAGGGGTAAAAGTAAAGGGGACCTCTGACCATTAGGTCCAGCCATGACAGACTCTGGGGTTGTGGCGCTCATCTGGCTTTGGCCGAGGGAGCCGGCGTACAGCTTCCAGGTCATGTGGTCAGCATGACTAAGCCGCCTCTGGTGAACCAGAGCAGCGCATGGAAACGCCGTTTACCTTCCCGCTGGAGCAGTACCTTGCACTTATTTACTTGCACTTTGACGTGCTTTTTAACTGCTAGGTTGGCAGGAGCAGAGACCGAGCAATGGGAGCTCACCCCGTCACGGGGATTCGAACCGCGACCTTCTGATTGGCAAGTCCTAGGCTCTGTGGTTTAAACCACAGTGCCAGGGGGTGGCAATAGGCAGAGCACACGTGCTATGGACACAGGCACACACAGAGGCCATATAAGCACCACACATTTAAAGCACTATTTTATCACTTTAGAAGCCATGGCTTCTTCCTGAGAATCCTGGGAGTGCTGAGGGTTGTTAGGCGGCTCTTGCTACCCTCACAGCATCACAAGGGGTCTCCGAACGACTCTTCCGTGAAGAAGAAGAGTTTGGATTTGATATCCCGCCTTTCACTCCCCTTCAGGAGTCTCAAAGCGGCTAACAATCTCCTTTCCCTTCCTCCCCCACAACAAACACTCTGTGAGGTGAGTGGGGCTGAGAGACTTCAAAGAAGTGTGACTGGCCCAAGGTCACCCAGCAGCTGCATGTGGAGGAGCGGAGACGCGAACCCGGTTCCCCAGATTACATGCCTACCGCTCTTAACCACTACACCACACTGGCTCTCAAGGGTTAGGTGAAGGGTCCCTAACAACTCTCGTAACAAACTACACTTCCCAGAATTCTTTGGCAGATGCCACGGCTGTTTAAAGTGGTATCATAGGGCTAGAAATGCATAGTGTGGGTGCAGTCTCAAAGTCGTTTCCACATACATTAGCAAAAAGCAAATGTCCTCCCTCACTCTGATTTGGCTTTCTGATATTTGCATGCAGCGAATGAGATTTCACTGAGCGATGAAGCCAAAACAGAGCGATGAAGCCAAAACAGAGTGAGGGGCAAGGGAGATACTCCCCTGTCCTCACTCACCATGGGCAGGTGATGGGAAATGTGAAAAGCTTCCTTTTGAGCCAATAGAAAAACCTTCCTTGCACATTTTTGGCTCAGCCCTAGCTGAGAACTGGCCTGCCAAGTACATTAAATTAAAGTTGTCATTTAATACACAACACACACATACATATGAGCCTACTCCCACTTCTTTTGCAATGAATCTTGCTGTTGGCAACAGAGCACAGATCATTCTAACAAAGCTCTCCATTTTTGTTTATTTAGTGTCAGAAAGGAAGGAAGGGCAAGAACTTGCCCTGTAGATTCAGTAGCCAGATGACAAATGTTTGGGCTTCTTGTCATTAAACTTCTGATTTCTTTTTGCTCGTGTGTGTATTTAAAGGGTATATTTATCTACTAAAATAAAGCTTTGCTTCTGCAAAGCACTCATGCACAACATGAGATGAATATCTCCTCCAAGCCTGACACTTAGGCTGCATTAAGACAGCACTTTATTCCATTTTCCTGACGTTCCCTTACCTGATGATTTTCATGTTTTATGTGATCTTTCACACAACATAAAAGCTACTTCTGGAAATGTAGCTGAATCTAGCAGAAATTCAGCGCTCATATCT